GGGTGCTGCTGTTGCAATGGAACGTTCTATTGAGTGTCGCCTCTTGGTCATTCTAAGCTCTTTGCTGCCGCTCACTGCATTTGTCTCTTATTCTGACCATTCTCTGTAAACCCTAGAGATGGTTGTGCATGAAAAATCCCAGTAGATCAGCAGTTTCTGAATTGCTCAGACCAGGCCGTCTGGCAGCAACAACTGTTTGCTTTATTCATAAAACACATTTAAAAACAACCGATGTTGACCAAAGTGCTTTACAAAAAGACCAGCATACAAAATCTTTACTTTTATATATATATATATATATATATATATATATATATATATATATATATATATATATATATATATATATGTATGTGTGTGTGTGTGTGTGTGTGTGTGTGTGTGTGTGTGTGTGTGTGTGTGTGTGTGTGTGTGTGTGTGTGTGTGTATATATATATATATATATATATATATATATATATATTTATATGTGTATATATATATATATATATATATATATTTATATGTGTGTGTGTGTGTGTGTGTGTGTGTGTGTGTGTGTGTGTGTATGTATATACTGTATATATATATATATATATATATATATATATATATATATATATATATATATATATATATATATACGCAAAATATATAAAACAGATTAAAATTAATTATTTGCAATCAAAAAGCAAGAGACGGAAGGTAATTTTTTTAAATGAAACTTAAAAGCATCAAGGGAAGAACATGACCTAATATGTAAAGACAGACCATTCCACAGACGGGGGGCTGTGACAGACAAAGCCCTGTCACCTCTTGATTTCAACTGTGTTTTGGGAACAACCATGCCACATTCAAAGTTACTTAAACCACCCTTCTTGCCCATTCTGATGCTCACTTTGAACTGCAGCAGATCGTCTTGACCATGTCTACATGCCTAAATCCATTGAGTTGCTGCCATGAGATTGGCTGAATAGAAATATGCTTTAACGAGCAGTCGGACAGGTGTACCTAATAAAGTGGCCGGTGAGGGTATATATAAATTTTATGTTTTACCTATATCTATATATTTTAATCTGAGAAAATACATTCACATGTAACATTAAGAAAATCTTTCTTGCACCTTCTTCCAAATGTTGGATATTTCCGTACATATTATATTGTAATGTTGGAAACATGTTGGTATTTTCTCCCCCTGCTTGAAATGAAATATATTTCAAAAAGATATTTTATTGACCAACACCGACACAACATATCAGAGATATTTATATTTACAATATATTTTGTCTATATACTGCTTTACCTTTTTGCCTGTGTAGCAAAGGAACTGCTGAAGTACCCATAAGCTTAAAATCATGCTGAATGAGTTTTGTTTTTCTCTTTCAAAAAGTAAAACTGCATACATAACAACAATATATGTCTCCATAATTCACAAAACTAAACCTGAGTAGCCTATATTGTTGATTTCAAAAGGATATTTAATTGAATTGATTTGCTTAATCACCTCGAACGTGTCTAACAAACCTAGTTAGGCCTTTAAATGTCACTTAACTACTAGTTTCCTGAAAAAATATCTAGTCAAATATTATTTACTGTCATCATGACAAAGATTAAAGAAATGAGTTATTAGAAATGAGTAATTAAAACTATTATGTTTAAAAATGTTGAAAAAAAGTCAGAAATTTGGGAAAAAATATACAGGAGGGCTAATAATTCTGCCTTCAACAGTACATAATAACAAGGGATGTCCCCACAATTCACAAAAACAAACCTGTGAGTGTGTGTGTGTGTGTGTGTGTGTTCCCTCATGGCGGTGTAAACAGCGGGACGTCCCTGACCTTGATCTGTACCCGTGTGCCACGGTGCCGGCGTGGGCATCAGGTGTTGGCATCTGCGCTGCAGGTGCCCGTGCCCAATTAAAGGGGCGGCTTGACAAGCTGCCCAGTGGGCACGGCAGCAGGCCTTTAATTTAATTACACGGAAATGCACTGATTCGGGGTGAAATGAAGCAGAACGTGTCTGTTTGTTAGCCGCAGATGACTGCCACTTGACTGACAGAGCGCTTGGCTTCAGGTGCGCCGACTGATGAGGGTTTTTTGGGCTTATTAGCATGAGTTCACTGCACTGGAGGACCAACCATGGCGTATCACGAATCTGACTGACAATGAACTTTAAAGGTGCTTTAGTTTTTGACTTTTCTAATACGTAAAAATACCACAATATGTTTGCAGATGTTTGAGAAGGATGCTAAGTGAACATTGTTGTTTTTCTGAGAAACAATGCTGAAGTCAGATATTCTGCTTTGAACATGTGCATTACGTGCTGGAACGCTGTCTTTGTTTTGGTTCTTTAAAACCCGCCCAATGCCAGTTCAGCCAATTATATTTCAGCACCCTGGGTTGCCTTGATGGAAAACAGCATATTTCATTCATTCTGTTTTGATAAAGTGTGTGTCCGTGACTTAAATGTGACCTCCGGTGGACAGTGGCAGACTCTGAAATGAGACGCAGATTCAGAGTTCCACATTAGGTGGTTATTAATTAGCATGTAATATAAATATTATGAATGTAAACATTAGGTGAGCAGGTTACATTGTAACCTAACAACACGCTACGTGACGAGATATGCAGTGATAAGCTATTTGGGTGTTTGCACCAGACGAAACATGACAGAAATTTAAATACAGCCATTCAGAAGCACAGAATAGTGCACTCACTGCACTCCAGCCAAATGGTAAGGTTTATAATCTAATGAATACATATTAAACCGCTTCAACATGATTAAATGTAGATGCTGAATCACTGATATGTTGGTGTCGTCAATCTGGCAACCTGCGCTTGCGTGTGTTTTGAACCAGGCGTGCAATACCTAGTTCAACCTCTGGGTGTCAAGTTCACTGCGCCTTTTTAAAAAGAGGAATTTATTGGAGGGACTCAAGCCGCACTTCCACTGCTCACAACAAATGACAAGAGACAGAACGAAAGTCATTCATTTCCAATGGAGAGTAGTCCGAAAGCTGCGTGGAGTTACGATCATGTCTGTATGCAGAAAATTCAGATTGAAATTGAGCTGTGGATACGTTTAAATATTTGAACTCCTGCGTCTAGACCAGGGGTGTCAAACTCATTTTAGCTCAGAGGACACATGGAGGAAAATCTATTCTCAAGTGGGCCGGACCTTTATTTATTTTAAATATATAAATAAGTATATATATATATATATATATATATATATATATATATATATATATATATATGTATATATATATATATATACATATATATGAAATACATTTGTTATATTTGTTACAATTTGTTCTATATATATATATATATATATATATATATATATATATATATATATATATATATATATATATATATATATATACACACAGTTGAAGTCAGAATTATTAGCCCCCTTTGATTTATTTTTTTTTTTTCATCTTTTTTTTTATATTTTCCAAATGATGTTTAACAGAGCAAGGACATTTTCACAGTATGTCTGATAATATTTTTTCTTCTCGAAAAAGTCTCATTTGTTTAATTTCGGCTAGAATAAAAGCAGTTTTGAATTTTTTATGAACTATTTTACACTGTAAAAAATCCAACTTGACAAATGTTGAAATTGCTTGATTTTTTTTGTTGGTTCAGCAAAAATCTGTAAAAAAGTCTGTACAACTACATTTAACACATTCAATCAACTTAAACAAAGATTTTATTCATTAAGTTAAAAAGATGAGTTTTGTGAGCAACACTTTGCTAGTTCATTCAAAAAAGCATCTGCCAACTTGTTTTTTTGTGTTAAGTCAATCTCTGACTTTTTTAATGCAATGAATATACAAGTAGCATAACCTTTTGTTGATTGAAAAGGTTTCAAACATGTTAAATATTCTAAAAAAATTATCAATGGCAGTATAGAACCTTTTCCCAGAGATGGGTTGGGGCTGGAAGGGCATCCGCTGCGTAAAAACCTGCTGGATAAGTTGGCGGTTCATTCCGCTGTGGCGACCCCAGATTAATAAAGGGACTAAGCCAACAAGAAAATGAATGTATGAGTATAGAACCTTTCATGGTTTGTATTAAAAAGTAAATGCTGAATGAAAATGCTATTATTATTATTATTAATATAATAATCAATATTGTTATTCTTCACATTGTTATTAAAAACAATAAAAAACACTACAATACTTATAGTAACTTTATTTGAAACTTTTCATTTGCAATTTAACTTTATTTGGTGCACATTTGCAGAAATAAGCTTGCACGCACATTATCATCTCGTGTTTATTCATTACCCTTTAAAAAAAGAAAGGCATACTTTGATATTCCAATATTTAAAAATAAACCACGCACTCAAAAATATGTTTCTCAAAGGACGATATAGCATCATTCTGTTTAGAGCTAAACCACGCCCTCGTTACGATGGTTGCGCTTACGTAACGTCAACGTCTCAGGCGGGAGAAACTGGAAGCATTGTACTTCGATGGGGAAAGAGGCAAGCCGTGGAAGAGCAATCTTAATAGTAAGTGTGCAAAGATTGTAGTTCTTTGTTTAAGACACTTCATCTAAATTTGTCCTCCTAAATGTTCATCATATACGCGCAAAAATGTGTGCAGATGCGGCGCTTAGTGATTATTCACATAATCTCTCTTTGTTATGTGATAAGAGTGAATGAATATTTGTGTTGCCGTAAATCATATCCATGCCCCGGGTAGCAGGAAGTAATCGGCCCGAGCTCGGCTGCCCTTCGGCGCCTCCGGCTCCGACTCGGCATCAACGAGTGTTATACGGGCGGAGTGTGGCCCGCAGCTCGCTCGCGCACATGCGTTTGTGATGCAGCTGTAAACACTGGCCAGATTCCTGTTAACCCTATCTGGCCCGAGTCTGTCTCGGCTCGTATAAGGACTCGGCTTGTGTAACTGATGACAACCGATTAAATTCTTATTTTATCTAGTAATTTGTTAGCTCCACGTTTAATGATAATTTGAGAAAATATATATGGTGCAACAGCAACAAAATAATAAAAACATTTAGTGTGGATGGTCGCAATGTTTAGATGCAAACAAAACAATATTATTTATAAATGGATTATATATATCATCTAGGGAAAACAGTGTAAAATGCGCTTATTTTCGAGATAGCACGCTTCCATGCAGACTGTTTTTTTAAGCAGAAGTTTGGTTTCATAAGAAACACATGCGTGAGTCAACTCTTGGTCCAAACTCCAATCCAGACGGTGGCGGTAATGTTCCAAAAGCTGGTTGCCAACCGCTATGATGATCACAAGAAGAAAAAGAAGTTTGGCGTTTCAAAACAGTGGATTCCGGTCAGAAAGGTAAGGTTTTTGCTGCTTGTATACTGTATACTTTGCGAATTTAATGCTTAAAACATTTTCACAGTGTTAGGTTATTGTTAAGTTATTGTTTAACTTGTTTATGCAGTGCATCAGTGATCGTTTACTGTTCTCTTTAAATTATCATTCTTTTATTAAGAGAAATATATTAGTATGTGCTTTAATTTATATGTGTTAGCCTATGTGAATCAATTCTATCTTATGTTCAAGTTGTAGTTTGCGCATGTAAAACTAAATTTCTTAAAGCAGATTTTGATGGGTTTTATTTTTTGGTTATTGACAGTTATACTTTCTGATTTAAATGAATGGGTATAAATGAATATTTTTTTGGTTAAGTCTTACTGTTCTTGTTTAACAAAGGTTAGTGAGGTCATTTTGTAGCACATCACAGAGACCAATAGCACATTCTTATGAACATGTGAATAGGCATGTTATAGTTGGGTGATTAAAGTCCATGCTGTAAACTGCTGATACATTTTCAACATAGATTGAGCTTTTCAGACTTTACATTACTAATTGCTTCACAAACAGCTGAAATGGTTTATTGTTATTGGCTATCATCATCATCAAACATTTTCCACAATGGTAGGTTAATCTTCATGGGTACAGAATAATGCATGTGCTTGGCCATCTTACAAATCTATGTCTAAGATTCATAAGGCTGTCACTCTGCATGAATCTCCGAATAAATCCTGTGTAACCTTTAGTGAGCTGATTATTTACACTATAGGTATTATAGCCATTAATTAACTTTGATAGTATTTCAGGATTTTAACTTTTTGGGGGGAGGTTAACAACAATGTGATGTTTTATTATAGACACACATGAGGAAGCTCGACTCAGCTTGGCTTGCAGACAGATGAGGACGGTGATTGCCTGTCATACACCTAAAGAAAGAACAGGTTTGTTTGCAATTATTTTAAACACATACTGTCAACATTATGTCATTGATCTATTACACTGCCATTGTCATTGATCTAGTGTCCTGCACTATACTAAAATAATGTTTTGTTTTGTAAATGTATCTGATCAAGGGGCATTAAAGACACAACTATAGTGAACGTGATGAAGAAAAATTATTTGGAACAAAGAGGCTGGAATGAAGATTTCAGAAATTGATGCAGCACCGCAAGTACCATCACCACCAATGACTATGGCAGGATCCTTAAGAACACCATCAAGATGCACAGATGCTGTACATTCCAGTACACCTATGAACATTTACAGTCCTTGTTCAAGTGCAGTCGGAGATCAAGACAACTTATTGCAACTCGTCATGTCTTTGTAAGAATTCAAGACATCACTAAATTTGTAATGGCTTAATGCCGCTAGAAAGTAAAGATCAACTAGAGAATATCAGCAGTGTCTAACCCACTGTTGTATTTACACAAGTTGCATGAGAATAAGCAACAGGTTAATTTATACTAATTTGTTATTTTTCTTTTTTAGCACGACTGAAAAAAAAGTTTTAAAATCATGTGACGTCATAAAGCAGCAACTGTGCCTGATTCTCACAAATCAGCAAAACCAAAACAGACGTGATGAAATTCCAGATGTAAACACATTTGACCTTTCTTTGTCCAATTTGATTTGGAAAAACTTGAAAATCAACTAAACGAGCAGCCCGAACAAATGAAGAAACTGGTAAGTTTCTAGCTTATTTCTAAGTGTTTTATGTTTATTTATTTATTTATGTGTTTTTTTGCTTCGTAGGTAGCCTACTTTGGAATCATTGGTGTTTTCCACTAAGCAGTTTGGTGTGTCCCGGGAAAGCTTTTGGCTCACTTTTTGGCTGAACAAATTAACTGGAGCAGGGCAAACCAAAATGTGGCCTTTCATGCACTCTCCCTTACGACTGTCTAGTCAGTAAGTTGGTTTTAAATATACATTTCAGTACAATTAGGGGCTGTTCCATCTGTGTATTTCTTTGAATCATTAATCAAAGGAACAAAACATCTATATATAGTCCCATTTAGGTTGTACTTATATGAGAGCAAGCATCTTTCTTTTTCACTACTAATTGTTTGTTTATCTTTTAATCACAGATGTAGTGAGGAGAAATGTCCATACCACATCACTGATAAAGAAGTGGAAAAATGCATTACAAGGTGGCTACAACGTGCTCCTGACAGGGCTGGAGGAAGGAGGGAAGAAGAGAAAGCTAATGTGTCAAATGTCTACATCAATAATTTATTTTTTAAACAACATTTTAAGTGTATTAAGATGTTCCCTGATACTTGGGTAATTTGTTTCTTTTATTTGCAATTTATATATATATATATATATATATATATATATATATATATATATATATATATATATAAAATGACAATATGCTAAATTCTGAAAAAGCATCTTAATACATTTTTAATTAACATAATATAATAAAAATATGAATAAAAAATTGCACAAGACATATAAAGATATACAAGTCAAATTTGATATATATATATATATATATATATATATATATATATATATATATATATATATATATAAAATCATCTCACTCATTTAAATGTATTATTATGTTTTATTTATTAAAAATGTTTCTTAAGAATTCTGCAGTTCTTTTTACAATTTTGACTTGTATATTTTACATATTGTCATGGGTATTTGTAAGATGTTTCTTACATATGCTAAATTCTGAAAAAGCATCTTAATACATTTTTAATTAACATAATATAATAAAAATATTAATAACAAATTGCACAAGACATATAAAGATATACAAGTCAAATTATTTATATATATATATATATATATATATATATATATTTATATATATATATATATATATATATATATATATATATATATATATATATATATATATATATATATAATCATCTCACTCATTTAAATGTATTATTATGTTTTATTTATTACATTTATTAAAAATGTTTCTTAAGAATTCTGCAGTTCTTTTTACATTTTTGACTTGTATATTTTACATATTGTCATGAGTATTTGTAAGATGTTTCTTGCTATATCTTAAATTGGTTTCTATATTCAGGTTTATATAAAATTAAGCTGTTTTAAGATGTGTCTTGTACAATTTTTTAATTCAAGTCTATTGGGAAAACAGGGTTGTTTTAAAAACTTCTGTGTATGTGTGCAATTTCAGATTTTGTCTTTAAATCTTCCTGTGTGTCTTTATTGTGTAGTTTTATTATTACTTGTGCACTACAAAATATTTTATTCAAGTTTAGTATTATTTGTTTATTGCAATCAATAAATGTTTATTATTATTTATTTTGTCCTTTGTTTGATAATTTTTGTTATTGGATATGTATGCTGTTTGCATTTTATTCAAAGGTTGAACGCAGTGCCTACACTTTGCCTTTACATTATAGCCTGCGTTTGCTGGTATATAAATGCAAATGGTTGTAATACCATGTATCAAGTACCAATATAATACCAAAAGGTTTTATATCAAGGTATATTGAGTTGCGCCAGCTCCGGGCTGCAGCGCACATTACTCACGGGCCGATTCTGGCTCGGATGCGGCAGCGAATCTAGCTGGAACTGGCCCAAGTGTATTTTACTATCTAAGGTGGCTCTTAAAGTGACAGCGCGTATATTCCAACTGCTTATTATTATATTAAGCAAACAAAATCAAATCAAAACCAAAATAATAGTAATAAATCGTTCATTTTGAACTGAAGGTGTATACAGTGGAACACTTATTACTAAAGTAAGATCCTTTACTGGCAGTTTTAATATCATATTTATCCATGACCAGCCAAGGTACTAGCACAAAACATGTAATTATGCAAGTATAGATTCTGAAATGAATTACAACAAATACTAAGATTTATATCTCAAGGCAACTAGTAATTCAGATTGATTGCTCTAATTGCCCTGCTGAAAAAAAAAAAAAAAAAAAACAGCAAATGCTGGGAAGGTATATGTTTTGATGCTGGTATGCTGGTCTTGCTTGTTTTAATGCTGGTTTTGCTGGTCTTAATGTTGGTTTTGCTGGTCTCAATGCTGGTCCTAATGCTGGTTTCAATGTTGGTCTTGCTGGTCTCAATGCTGGTCAGGAGCAGCACTTACACCAGCAAAACCAGCACTGAAACCAGCAAGACCAGCATTGAGACAAGCAAAACCAGCATTGAGACCAGCATCAAAACATACCTTACCAGCTTACGCTGTTTTTTCAGCAGGGTGTTGTGAATAATTTATGGGATATTCTAAGGTTATTAAAATTGATAGTGTTAGGTAGTCTCAGAGATGTGCTGTAATTGTTATATATTTAATATAATTGTGTTTCCTTTTCATGTGATTAATTTGACTTAGTGTTTGTGTTTTTTTTTTTTTTTTTTTTTTTTTTACAGATACACTACCTCGTTTTTGTACTTTAGTGAAGAACCGCAAGAAAATGAATGTTTTGGTAAAATGTATGTCTTTTTTTTGCCATGTGTGTTTACTCCGATAACATTTTATTTATTAGTACTAATTTCCAATTGTATTTTTTTGGTTCATTTAGCTTCTGTAGTTTAAGACCATTCAGACAAGAAATGTTCAGTCAGCAGAACTTAAAAAAACAGAGCCATGTGTGTTTGCTCGGATAACATATAATTTCTTAGTACTAATTTCCTTTTGTATTTTCTTGTTCTCTCAACTTCTGTCATTTTTGGCCATCCAGACAAGAAATGTTCAGTTAACACAACTTTTGCTCTGGTAACATATAATTTCTTAGTACTAATTTCCTTTTGTATTTTCTTGTTCACTCAACTTCTGTCATTTCAGGCCATCCAGACAAGAAATGTTCAGTTAACACAACTTTTGCTCTGGTAACATATAATTTCTTAGTACTAATTTCCTTTTGTATTTTCTTGTTCACTCAACTTCTGTCATTTCAGTCCTACAGACAAGAAATGTTCAGTTTGCACAACTTAAAAATATTTGTTGTGCTGCAGGTGCAGGTTTCCAGAAAACTACTAATGTTAAGTTGACTCAACTAGACATTTTTTGTTTCACTGACAAATTATTTTCAGTCAGTGTAGCTGATGTTTTCAAAAGTTGAGTAAACAAGAAAAAACAGAAGGAAATTAGTACTAAGATTTTTTTTGTTGAACTGGCTTAAAATTTTTTACAGTGTAGGGACAAAATTATTAGCCCCTTTAAGCTATATTTTTTCTCGATGGTCTACAGAACAAACCACTGTTATACAATAACTTGCCTAATTCCCCTAACCTGCCTAGTTAACTTAATTAACCTAGTTAAGCCTTAAAATGTCACTTTAAGCTGTTTAGAAGTGTCTTGAAGAATATCTAGTCAAATATTATTTACAGTCATCATGGTAAAGATTAAATAAATCAGTTATAAGAAATGAGTTATGAAAACTATTATGTTTAGAAATGTGTTGAAAAATCTTCTCTCCATTAAACAGAAATTGGGGAAAAAAATAAACAAACGTTCTAATAATTTAGGGGGGCTAATAATTCTGACGTCAACTATATATATATATATATATATATATATATATATATTTTTTTTTTTTTTAATTATTTTTTTTTTTCAACATACAAAGATTCAAAGGGAACCACAGGTCGACAGGGAGATTGCAAAATACCAGCTTCTGCTTTAAACTAAACTGATTGAATATTTACTATTAAATATCTACTTCAAAAATATACCGACAAATAAAATATAGTAAAACACCCTAAATCAGTTGAAACGCGTCGATGTGATGTAATCATTACATCAAATATTGCTGAAAAAGGCACTTCATGGACACCAAGCAACCTAATTGTGGGAATGTTTGTACACTAGCACTGAATCACAGTTTACCATCAGCGTACACCCTTAGCTCCAGATGACTTTCGCTGTAGAGTTTAAAAATAAGTATCTTTGAGGAAAATCAAAGCATGTGACGCAGCTGAACAATAATACAGGAATAGATCATCATCATCATCATCATCATCATAATCTCTTCCCTGGAGACGCAGCTCTGACAGAGTCTTCAGATGAGTTATAAACCTCTTCACTTGGCTTAGAGAGTCCGCGTCTGCGGATAACCCTAGACGTGTCATAAAAAAGCCGGTAGCATGAAGTAGATGGGGTCAGGAGTTCAGCTGTATGTGTTTCGTCTGAAGCGCGTATGGTTTGTGTTCGAGATCCGCTAATCTCGCAGAAGAGCGAGAAACATCTGAGCATTAATCACCGCAGACACAAGTGCAATAATAAACATGTGTCTTTTACGTAAGGGTTTATTTACTGACGAAAACTATGCAGAGAATATGTTTTCCTTGCAAACTGCGCAGGCATGCAGATCGCCAGATGTTAGCATTGATTGTGAACTGCTCCTCAACATCAAATGATGCTCAATAAAGCGAGAGAGAGAGAGAGAGAGAGAGAGAGAGAGAGAGAGAGAGAGAGAGAGAGAGAGAGAGATTAAGGAAACTAGCTGCTAATCGCAGCAGAACACATGCTGCTTTCTTAAGTGTAGATGGAGGATTTTAGCATGCTACGCTAATGGGTACTCA